GTTGGAGTTACGAATATTTTCTGTTAATCCAATTTCAGTAAACGAGTGCGTTTGCTCAAACCCCACGCAAGTAGTTGAATTGGTGATTCAATTTTATTCCCTTTGTTTTTTCACTTGAGTATATTTTATTTTGACATTTGAATACCATATATGGTAGCTTACTGTTTCTTTCTATAATTTGCTGTCTTGTTGACTGCAAGTCAAGAAACATTAAAATATGAAACTTTGCACTGAATTGTTATCTCAATAAATGAGGTTATTTTAGAAATTAGGTATAGAAAAAGTGTGTCCACTAACTATAAATATCACACACACACAATGTAATCGTCCTAACATTATTATTTACCGTGTAACAATTACAAGTTCGCCGTCGAGTAGCCCATTCATCAGATTTTCTAATGGGCCGAAAGAATGACACCACTTCGACTGATCAAACGAGAGTCGGATGGTAAAAGCCTGGATTATCCCCTGATTTAAAAAAAAAAAATTACAAGTTCGAAATTTGGGTATTTAGTATATTTAGATTTTTTCATTATATAGATTGAAGAGATATAGAAACAGACTATAACGTCACTTCATATTACGCATACGACACACCCAAAATCTAGATCATGTAATGACGTAATGTTTGAGTTTTCTATTTGTTTTTTTGTTAAACATAAAAACGAATGCATAAACTGTATCAATAAACACGATATTTTGAGTTAAAGATGTTTAGGAAGTATGTTCATGCATGTGATTTACGGATCGCATTTGCTACACTCGTCAAATAAATAATTTCAAGTTTTTTTTTGAGAAAGGGATAATTTCAAGTTATGATATCTAGTTCTTCTTGATCATCGTGTTTCTTCATGACTAAATTAGTTTTATGAAACTAAATAAACATGAAAATCCTTTTAAATTAGAGGACTAGACTTGAACACTTTGCTAGATCCAATGATATTTTTTTTTTGTTCTCATTTCCAAAAGTTCATTGGTAATTGATCTTGAATACTATGTATACAATACAAATGAGAATAAAATCATTAGAATAATTGTCATCTTATTTGTTCTATTCATATTTAGCTTGACTAATTGTCAAAAGAATTTATATTACAATCTACTTATAAGTACATTTCCAAATAAATATTAGCAATCCCTTATAAGATTACAAGAAGATAATACTGACCAAAATAGAGCATGAAAAGAGAGAGAGAGAGAGTTAAGATAGAAAACTTACTAATAAGTCTAGATCAGAAAGTAATAAGAAAATGAAGAAAATATATATACCCAAAAAGGGAGAATTTCAAAATGAGAAGGATATGTGTCTACATACATTTATTTATTGAAAGAAAGATTAAGCAAATGAGATTACCATAATTTCTCATAAAATGGGGATAAGTAAGCACCAAACATTTAACAAGACTTGTAGGTTAATAAAGAAAGGTACAAAAAAGGCAAAGGATGGGTGGGTTTAGGTTTTAAATGTGGACTGTGGAGAGGACAAAACAACAATCCCTGATTTTAGGATAACCTCACGTGACCACAACGAGTCTCACTCATTTTCACCTACCCTAATTCCACCCTCTCATTATTATGACTTTCATTTTACTTTATAACGTCGATTTAATTTTACTATAAGTATGTTCTCACGTCCAATATTGTTTTATGCCTACTTTAATTACACAACCGATGGACA